TGGGAAATGACCAATACACCGGAAAAAAAAAAAAAGTAAAAGAGAAAGTAAGTTTACATGATATGGTCATTCTCTTTCATCTCCTGGAGCTATGCTAAATATTTCTGATAATAAAATAAATAAAAGGGATGCAGAAGCAGTAGCCTAGCTTGACTTGAAGTAGCAGAGGAATTTGAGTATTTTCTATTGGATGATATAATTGGGGGCTGCCTTGATGGCTCAGCGGGTAAAGGATCTGCCTACAGGAGACACAGGAGATGCAGGTTCAGTCCCTGGGTCAGGAAGATCCCCTAGAGAAGGAAATAACAACCCACTCCAGTATTCTTGCCTGAAAAATCCCATAGACAGTGGAGCCTGGTGAGCTGCAGTCCAAAGGGTCACAAAGAGTCGGACACGACTGAGCATAAGCACTCACGTATGCACAACATGATAGGATCATTTTCTTCATTGAAACTGGTTTAGAAGGAAGCTGGAATACTATGTATCAGAAATATAAGTGTGTTTTGACTTGGTTCTGCTGAATCTCATTCTACATTACTGCAAAGCCACTTGACCCAGGTTGATTTACTAACATTGACTAACTGTTGTGGTGGATTAACTGTGGTTGCAAATTCCTTGTCACTCTCTCCATTAAGATTTATCTCCCCTTTCCTTGAATCTCAGCTGGCACTGTGACTATTTGGCTAATAGGATGCAATGGAAATAAGCCCGTACCACTTCCAAAGCCAGTCTTAAGGAGAACTGGCAGCTTGTGCTTCCTCCCTCTTGGGCTGTATCCTCCCAGAACCCAGCTGCCATGCTGTGAGAAGTCCAGGCCACATGGAGAAGCCACATGTTGGTGCACCATCTGACAGTCCCAGATCAGTTCCCAGCTGACATCTGGCATCAGCTGCTGGTCATGTTGTGAATCTTGACTTTTTCAGCTCAGTTACACCTCCAGTGGATTGCAGCCGCTACAGCTGGAGCAGAAGAACCACTCAGCTGAACCCAGTAATCCTGCGGGCTAGTGAGATGTAATACAGTGGTTGTTAGTTTAACAACAAATGTAATGTGTTTCAGGGCAATTTGTTTCATAGCAATATGTAACTGAAATAGCTTTCCCAAGAAAATCTCAGAACAGAGACTGGGGAAGAGCTCTTCTATTTAAACTATAAACAGATCATATGTAAATAACCTATGCTTAATTCTTGCAACTTCTAAAGATCACTAGGCAGAATTTTAGAAGGCTCTTGTTTTAGAAATTCGGCACCTTTAAGTTCATTTAGCAACTACATTAAATTAAAATTAAAATGCCTACTTCATTGTTACACTTTCTGGTTCTCTCATTTTTCCTATTGAAGTAATAGGTAAACAATATGTAATCAGATGCCTTCTTTTGATTGAAAACAAGAAACAGTATTGTTTGGTAGAAATAGAATGAGTCAGAATTTTGTTCAAAATTGGTGCTATTCGTGCTATTGTTTAATAGCTATGTGTCCATAACTAAGTTATATAAGCTGCCTGAGTCCTTTTTTTTTTTTAACAAAAAAGGTAATATGTTCTGTACAGAATTTAGTGAAGATCAGAAATCATGTATGGCAAGAGCCTAGCAGAGTGCCTGGAATCACAGTGGAGCTCTATAAAGGTAGCTTTTGTTTTTATAGAAGAGGTGGTTATGTGGTTTTAAAAAGGTAATGTTCCTTGTTTAAGGGGACATGGAAATATTGGTGTTCCTGAGCTTTATTAAAGATGGAGGCTAAAGGGTTAAAGTGACATATGCTTGCAGTTCTTCCTACACACATACATGTTCTAGTCCAAAAGAAATTCTGACCCTCAATCCCATTCACATCACCCTACATTCACTTCTTTATTGCTAGTAAGATTTGCTAAAGGGATAAAGGCAACTTCTGACTCCTCGTCTCAAGTACAGACCTAGTGGAGAATTCCTTTTATTCTTTACTTCATGTCCTACTCCCTTTCTCAATTACATTTACCTTCCAACTGCATGGGAAACAACTCTAGGGGAGGCTGGCTCTCTGCAAACTGATCTTAGCTCCAAGAAGCCACAGGATTCATGAACTGCCTCTCCAGGGAGGACACATATATATCCCACAGTGTGATTTATGTAGTCTGTCTTTTAAGTTCCTATCCTTTACATAATCCATTCTTTTCCTTTGAAAGTGTTGGTCATCTTTAATATGACAGTTAGAGCAGTTCCCAGTAATTACTTTGCTGAAAATGTTTGTTCTGAATAATTAAGGCAAGGTGAATAGTTGGTATGGGCGCAACTGAAGGAGCACTTTTCTTAATTACAGGTTGCTTTTCTCAGTATCTGTGCTTCCCTGCCTGATCTGGGCTCTGAATTCGTGTTAGTTAGTCTTTGAAATCTAGGTGACCTTGGCTGTGGGTGAAATGCCAATGTGTGAGTATGATACTTGCGTGAAATACTGGTTTGGGGCAGAATCATGAAATTAAGTACCACAAATTTAACCTGGGTGATAGCTAAAGGAATTATAAATGATCGTAATTTAGCATAAGTATTTACTTGCCTAATTGATTTTGAACATTTCATGAATAATGATCATTAAGATCTTAATTCCTCTCAGTTTGAATTCTGTAAATGCCTCCCTGTAGATTTTCGATGATGTGAAATTTCATGTCTGTTGCTTGAATCTTTAAGAAAAATCTCTCTGCTTTAAAATCAAATAGTTAAAAGTTAGAAAGTGGGCATAGGAATTATTTTAAAGCATGAGTTACTGCGATATAAATGCAGGTTATACAGAGGTGAACTTAAGGATAATTCATTTTGCCCAGAATCTTGTCAGAGCCATAATTACAATTATGCAAATTGGTTCAGGCTTTTGTTGTTGTTGTTAGTTATAGTACTGCAAACACATTTTCAGATATCACTACCCTTTAAATCACTTATAATTATGGGCTAATGTCATTTTGAAAGAAATGATAATGTTATCTCATGCCCACTTAGAAGCTTAAAAATATTTCAAAGCAGTGGAAATTGTGTTTTACAAAATGGAACGTGCTTAAAGCAGATTCTCTCAGGACTTCAGGTTTAAATTTTATTGCTTCTGGGACTCACATGATGGTTATGTAGTATGGATTTAGAGACAGTTTTTAAGACTCCTATTGACATAGGTGAACAAAATGGTTCCTTGGAAACCATTCAGGTGTCCAGTCACAGTAAAGCATGGATTAAAGATTCAGATGCGGACACGCAAGAACAGGAGGGTCAGGGCAGCCTGTTCTCTGTATTAAGGACAGTGCATTTCTTCCAGCCTTTTAACCACTGCTGTTTTAAAGAAAAAAGAAAAGAGGCGGCAGTGAAACTATCTTTAAGGTAAAGCTCCTGAAACTTAACCCTAAAGGCGTGCTCTTATAGAAAAGTCTTCTCAATCCTTGCAGTGCATTTATAGCTGAGGACATGTGGTATACGTTACAGCGCTCAGGGAATTCAGCCTCCGCAGTGTGGAGTCCCAGTGAAGGCTAATTTCAAGATGAAGCGGGAGCCTCCTCTATAGCTGTTACTTACTGGTGTTTCTTGTTGGCTGGACATCAGTCCGGGACTGCTGTGAGTGGGACAGGAGGATGGAAATTTAAAGGGGACCAGTGTGGGCACATAAAGACCTCTCTCCCCTCCCTGAGCACCCCCCTCTCCAATGTATATTCCACCCTTCACACTTGGGCATCACCAAGTCTTAACCCAATCATTGCGACAAGGGCTGAAGGCAGAGCTGTCCATGGTTAGGAGGGAAAAAAAAAAAAAAAACCAAAACATTCTTGCTGTCGGTTGAAACGCCAGGCAATAACAGTCCTCTCAGTGAACAAAACTTATTAGAGGGCTGGGGATGGAATGCTATCTCTCTGCAGCAGGCAGGAAGAAATTGCTGTTGAAAAGCTTACCTCTCTAGGGAGGAATCAGATATCAGACTTTGCCAAGCCTCAGGTCCAACCCATAAGGTCCCACCTACATCCACCCCCCGCCCCATCCTAGCTTTGTTAGATTGCTAGCATTGATCGCTGGCTTTTTCTGACCCAACAGTGGGTGCAGAAGAGAGAACCAGGGAGACTTTAGAGCATTTGAGGTGGGGGTGGAAGATTAGGGCAGCTTTGGTAGGAAGGAAAAAAACAAAGATAGAGAAGAAGGCTAGCTGGGTGGGGGCCATGGGGACTCAGCTTAACTGGTGTCTGCCTGCTTCTCTTTGATTTGATGGCCTTTATTCCTTCTAATTGGATAAAATAGGAAGTCACTGGCAGTCCCGCCTTGCTGGGTATCCTGATTCTACTCAGACCAGCCAGCAGCCCCAGAGATTAGAGGGGTGGGGGCTGGGAGAGGAGGGAGGAAAAAAAGAGAGGGGGGAGAGAGAGTCTCTGGATGAGGAGGGGGGAGACAAGGGGAAGAGACTGTGGAGAAGGCAAGAGCCGCAGAGGAAGAAAGTGAATGAGCGCTCGAGAAGGACAAAGAGGAGTGGCCCGGGGGCTAGGGGGAAGGCAGGGCGGCGAGCGCGGCGACCGCCCCTCCCGGCCGCGCTCTCGCCTCCAGCTCGCTCTGCGATGAGACGGTTCGCCGCGATGCTCGGAGGGCAGGCACCTGCTGCTCTGTGATGATTCAGCCCCTTTCAGCCGCCGCGCTCACACCACAGGATGCTGTTGCTACTGCCGCTCCTGCCGCCGCCGCTGCTGCCGCCGCCGCCGCTGGTCCTGCTCCTGCTTTTACTTCTGCATGACAGTTGCTTTCTCCATCTGAGCAGACCCCAGCTTCAGCTGCTCGAGGTGAGAAACATGCCTTTCAGTTTGGGCTACTGGTTTACTTAACTGACCGCCGCCGCATCAGCTCCTGGGTTTCTCTGCTGGCCTCCCGTCTTCCTGACCCTGCCAGGATGGTTTGGAGAAGCATATAAAAGAACTGCAAAAGTGGCCCAGAAACAGCAGTCAAGAATTACAATATACTTTTATTTGGTTGTTGCTAGAGGCTTTTTTTTTTTTTTTTTTTTTGGCCTCCCCTGCCTTCCTCCCGAACTCCTCTTGCTTTTGATAATGGCCTTGGACTTGGACGACTTATCGATTTCTCCCTGTAAGATGCTGTATCATTTGGTTGGGGGGGGCTCTGCATGGTAATGGACAGTGCGAGAGGCCAGGCCTCCTGGAGGTGAGCCGATGGAGATTTATTCCCCAGACATGTCCGAGGGAGCTGCTGAGAGGTCCTCGAGCCCTTCCACTCAGCTGAGTGCAGACCCATCTCTGGACGGGCTTCCGGCAGCCGAAGACATGCCGGAGACCCAGACTGAAGATGGGAGGTCCCCGGGGCTCGTGGGCCTGACTCTTCCCTGCTGCGTCTGCCTGGAAACCGAGCGCCTGAGAGGTTGCCTCAACTCAGAGAAAATCTGCATCGTCCCCATCCTGGCTTGTCTGATCAGCCTCTGCCTCTGCATCGCCGGCCTCAAGTGGGTGTTTGTGGACAAGATTTTTGAGTATGACTCTCCCACTCACCTTGACCCTGGGGGATTAGGCCAGGATCCTATTATTTCTCTGGATCCAACTGCAGCTTCAGCTGCTGTGTGGGTTTCAGCCAAGGCGTACACTTCACCTGTCTCCAGGGCTCAGTCTGAAACTGAGGTTCGAGTTACAGTGCAAGTTGACAATACCCTTGGGTCCTCCGAGCCCTCGGCGGGCCCCACCCCCAAGAACCGTATCTTCGCTTTTTCTTTCCGGCCGTCCACTGCCCCATCCTTCCCTCCACCCACTCGGAGCCCTGCCGTGAGACCATCCAAGACAGCCACTCAGCCACCATCAACAGAAACTAATCTCCAAACTGCTCCTAAACTTTGTAAGTAGAGAGAGACAGGTGAGGGTGTGTAGAGGAGATGGGTGGGCTTGAGGTCCTCTGAAGGGTTCTCTAGAGGTAGAGCGGGGTCCTTGCCTTCTCGGAGTTGAATGACTCGCTTTGGTTTAAGCGCATCATGTGACTGGGTTGCTCAGGGAGAGATGAGTGAAAAGACCTTGCAAACTGCTGGGTAGAACTGATGCTCCCTCTTCCTGGATGGTGAAATCTGGGGTGAGCGACCCAAAGCTTCAGCATCTCTGAGCCATGCTTGACTTTCAGTTCAATTCCATTGGTTTCTAACACTTTTTAAGATGAAAACATCAGACCATTATATACATATATGTGTATGTATATATATATATATATATGCATACATATAAATGTAACTTCTGTACAGCAGTGAGTACGATCCTGATTTTTTTTTCCCATGTAAACTTTCCATCACCTCTCCTCACCTTCCTGTTATCCTTTGCCTTCCAGCCAGCCCAAGTTGCCAGTTATCTTTCTCCATCTCTTCTTCCTGTTCCCTAAACCACTTCTCCCCACGTTTGTACTTTAATTGCTTCTTCCCGATACCGCATGAAGTCTTAGATGTTTGCAGCAATCACCTCTTACCAGCATCAAAAGGTTGCTGTCATGCTCAGATTTTAGTTTGAGTTGCTTGAGCACTTGTTAGGGGCAGTTTTATTCAGGATCTGATACAATTCTACATGAAAAGATTTTTCCCAAATTAGTTTATTTTATTTTATTTTATTCAAGTATAGTTGATTTTACAATGTTGCGTTAATTTCTTCTGTACAGTATGGTGACTCTGGTGTGTGTGTGTGTGTGTGTATGTATATCTACATATACATATATTCTTTTAATATTCTTTCCTATTATGGTTTGTCCACATTAGTTTTGCCTTCTGGAATCAAATATTTAAATAGCTTCCTTGGCAGTCATTAGAAAGTACAAGATGCATTAGTAAGATAAATCTTTTTTTTTCAGATGTGTCTTTTTTGTCCATAAGATTGCAGCAGTCCTATTTAATAATCTGTGAGTGAGGAGAGCCCATGCTCTTAAAACAATACAGAGCAGTCCTACTGCTGTCTGTACTGGGTCATTGCAATGCTTTGTAATGGAAAAGTTGACAAGGATGAAACCATGACTAGTCAGATGGTTTTAAACATCATTATAGAAGAGAGGCATTTTCTATAGCTTTTTAAAAACTTTTGAATTTATTTTTGTTTCACTGTCTTCTCTTCTTTTCACCACTGAAACTGTTTCCTTAGAAAAAAGTAAAGGATCAGAGAATTCGGTTGGAATATCATGCGTAAAGTCTAGGAGAGGTGAGGGTAAAGATTCTGTGATGAAATACCCCTACTGTTTCCCTCTAGATGGTAATGAAGATTAAAAATATCTTTTACAGACATGTTGTTCAGTATGCGGGAGAGCCATATGTTCTAGAAATGCAGAAAAACTTGATTTGTGCTTGTGATTCAGGCTCATTTCATACACACCAGTTTCAGTGGCAAAGATTTAAAGAAAAAAAAAAAGAGGCTTGCTTTTCAGGTGTAATTAGGGAAGAACCTCCTTTCTGCAGACCCTGCTTTGTATCTTTATCAAATCCCTGAAGCATCATTAAAGATCTGACAGCCATCACTGTATTCACCGCCTCTTCCCACCTGGCAAAGTGACCGGGAAATAATACCCAGATGAAATGACAGGCTATAAAAAGCAAGTACAGATCCTGCAAAGAGAAGCAAAATTCACCGTGAAGACAAGATTACTTCTTTTGTCTTTTTATCATTTTCAACTTCAGTCTTGAATTAAAATGTGCCTGAATCAGTTTAGCTCTTCAGAAAAAGAAAGAAGACCCTTTGGAAAACTCTTCGACTCAATCCTATAATTTTGTCATTGAAGGAAAACAAGCAAACAAAGAAACCTCCAGCACATTTTCCTGATCTAGGACTGTGTTAAAAAAGTATCTTGTGATGTTTTGAGAAATTCTTTTCTAAGGTAAATTCTTTTCCTAAGTGTTTTAATAGATTATACATTCCATACAGTTTCTTTTCTTTTTTTTTCTCAAGGCAGGACATTGATTTTTCTGGCGTTTCTATTGAGTGGAGAAGATTTACTACTGTCTAAAAGCATCATAGTAGCCAGTTCTGGCCAGATACACAGCTGCAGCACTCTGAGTGCATTGGAGATAAGCCTGCAAAAGCTGTCTGGGATGTAGTTTTCTGGAAAGTTAGGGCTAGACAGTTGGTTAACACTTTACCACCTATAGGGTTTGCTGTGTGAGACACCTAGGGTTCCTTTTTTGAACTAGTGCCTGAAAACAACAAAAACATAAATATCCTAAAAATTGTGAGTCTATATTTCTTTTATTTTGGAAAAGCACTGGTCCAGGGAGCTTTGGTTTTAAACACTCTTCAGTGATTGTTTAGCTGTTTAAGAAGCTTGTAACCATTAACCAAAGGAGGGCAAAAAAAGAAAGAAAGAAGGAAAAGCTGGGCATTAAATAATCATTCTGAAATCTCTTTCACGTTTTGCTCTTCTGCTAAGAAACTATCGCTTAGTCACAGAAAGAACGGGGCTTTTCTTTCACCATCCTGCATGCTTTTGACATGCCTAAAGCTGTCACAGCTTATGTTTTAAAAAGACAACATCATATCTGAACCATGCTCTTGCGAGGTCTCAGAACTTGATTCTCCGTTTCTGTCTGGCTCAGCATATTCAGTGTATTATGCACAGAACTGTAGCCTTCAAGGTCATAGTCTGTGGAGGACTAATTGATTCTTCTATCCTGGAGCCGGTAAGAGTAGAACAGAGACAATCCTGGTAATTGTGTCTGCTGTGTTATTTCCCAAACCAATCTGCCTATTAGCACATTAGGGTTTTATTCCATAAATACTAGAATTACTCTCTCTCTTACTGACTCTTCTAAAATCAAGACACTCTTTGTCTTTATTATATTAGGCAAAATGTCACCTTTTAAATCGACTAGAGGTATAGTGACTACGTCAGCTGTTTTAAATGAGTATTTCTTTCATAAGGCAATATAATTTCGTGTTCTTACCATCTTAGACGGTGCATTCAAGTAGAGAGTAAGCAATCTAATACAGGGCTCGAATTTACTATTTAGACAATGCATAAAATATGAAAACATTACAACATGTATATGTAATTCTAAAGTTTTTCTGTGCATGGTTAGTGGTTTCCCACCGTAATTATATTATCATGTTAATAGTTTATAGTTTTCATCAAGGCAATTCTGGAACCATTCATTTGTCTCCTTTGCCTGGGCTTTAAGTTTTTTCTTACCTTTTGTTTATCTGGAAAGATCTGATGCTGGGAGATTGCAAACTTAGGTGACTATAAAAAGAGCTGATTAATTAAGTTGTAACCGGAAAACTAGGGTACCATCCTGAAAGAAAATGTATTTCTGAATGGTGCAGCCTGCTTGACAACTGACTCTGGGGTATAAGAATGTATTAGTATTTTCTGGGACTTCCCAGTGGCTAACACTCCATGCTCCCAATGCAAGGGGCACAGGTTCAGCCCCTGCAGGGAACTAGATACCATATGCTGTAACTAAAAATCCCACGTATCACAACAAAGACTCAGTGCAGCTGAATAAATTATACACACACACACACACACACACACACATACGCAAAGAATGCATTAGTATTTTCATCTTAGGCCAAACTTGTTTTACTTTTTCTTAAATCTTTGTACTGTTGAGTTTCATGGCACACCATTGTTACCAGAGTGACAATATGAATTACTACACTATGCAAAATTCAACATGATCAATTGAATATACTATAGGATTTTTCCCCTTCTGTTGAAAAGTGGCATTCATTTTAAACCCAGTAGACTCTTCTAGTTTCTTGCAACTGTACCTATAGCTGTTTCAGAATGGTGATTCCACATAAATTTTCTCTGCTTTCACCATCTTTGTTGAAAGCCTAAGACATTAAAAACTGGAAGAAACTGGTAGATCCTCAATGTGAACTAAATAATTTTATTAATTTATTGATGAGGAAAGCCAGTCTCCGAACAATTTAGTAAAATGAACCCATTTATTAAAATTCACAAAACTCTGAAAAGTTTAGGGAAACCCTAATAGTGGAAAACAGAGCAATGTCCTATCTCCCAGAATTTAATCCCCAACAGTGCTGTTTTCCCCTATCATTTTCCCCCTGTTCTAGAGGATTAGAGGTGAAGAGAAGTGAAAATCACTCAGTTATGTCTGACTCTTTAGATAAGGGTCTTCCCAACCCAGGTATCGAGCCCAGGTCTCCCGCATTGCAGGCAGATTCTTTACTGTCTGAGCCCCCAGGAGGTCCGAGAGTACTGGGGCAGGGAGCCATTCCCTTTTCCAGGGGATCTTTCGAACCCAGGGATCGAATCAGGGGCTCCTGCATTGCAGGTGGATTTTTTAACATCTGAGCTACCAGGGAAGCCCAAGAGAGTTAGAGCTGGAGACCAAATCTGGTAGTTTAAGTAGCATCTGACTGCTAGTTACAGAAGTACTTCATGTGGGACCAAGGTTCATGTGTATAGAGTTCACACTTAAATTTTCTTTTCACTCTCTTGTTCTGTTCTTAAATTTTCTGCATTTACGATCTTTTTTATTTCATCACTCGTACCGCATTCAGCTTGCTTTTGAAAAAACAGCTTAGTTTTTCTCAGATGACCTCTTTCCTGACAGGCAGCAGATGGCTATATGGCTCACCTCTTTCCTGAACATCCCAATTTAATTATTTTTCCTTATTCCTTTATGATACCCAGTTTTGCTTCCTTCCTCTCCTTCTCACACTCCCAATTATATCTTGAATCTTTCTTATTTTCCTAATTATGCCTTGTTGGCTTTTCTATGTCAAAATTCCACTACACTCTAAGATATCAAAGCATTTTCACTTGTCATTTCTTTCCTATAGAACCCTATTTCATTTTAATACTGAACAATACTTAGACGTTTTACAAAAACACATACCAAAAAATGTCTTCATCTGAT